ATAAAAGTGTTGCTCTGTTTAGAAGATGATAATAGGCATTCTTTGATATGTCTTGTGAATTTTTGCCTGTTCAGATATTGTACCACTAGTGAGCCCTTTGGACCTATAGCCTTTTGTTTGGAAGCCGTATTTTTGCCTTGATCCTTTTGTTTGAATCTCTAGTTTTTGCACCCTGCTTTCTTGAGCACTGTTGCTTAGACCGTGATAGTAATTGATAAATTTGAAGAAAGGGATGGTTAAGTGAAAAATGGTGACCAACAATAGCTGAAAAGTGATGAAAAGGCCCTCTTGAAAAGAATGTGACGTGAAAAAAGAGAGAATGAAAAAAACTTGCTTCGAAAAAAATGAAACGTTCTTGATGTGAGGGAAATATTTGTGAAACAATAGATGAAGAGAGGGCCTGAAAAATAAAAGTGAAGAGTAGAAAATGATGGGTGATGAAGTATAAAAATGCAAAGTGCTTAGGGAAGTATAAGTCACTATTATATAATTCTCCTACCCGTCCCTTAGCCAACATTACAACCCGTTAAAGTCCTATTTGATTCTATTCGAGCATACTTAATTAGTAGAGATGTACATAATGGGCAAGCCTATGGTTCTTTGTGCATACATGTGAATTCGTTTGTGAGTGCGAGAGTTGTTCTTTGATGCAAAGTCCTTAAATTATATTCATTCTTTGATTTGAGTGTATGGACTATTTATTCTTATGAGGGCACTTGTTCATGATAGATAGGTGATGTTATTAGCTTTATTAGACAGAGTAGGTGAGCGAGCTTAAATTTGGTAAGTTAGAGTCCGTCTATGAGGTTAGGAGGTTAGAAGTTTGTTGTTTGTTTGTGACTTCTATATTTTGCACGATGATGAGGAAGTATATATCTGATGGTTTGAGTTGCTATATGGCCTAATTGTTAGTATCTACCGAAGTGGTGGTGTTTCTAGGCTTGATTTATTGAGAGTGGTTTTAACGCTTACTCGAGAACGAGCAAGAGTCTAAGTGCGGGGTGTTGATGTTCGGCAAAAAATGCATATATTTACCCATTGTTACCTCACATTCTAGTACTTTTAATCGTCATTTGAGTATCAATTATATTACTTTGTGCTTAATATTATATTTTAATTGTGTAGGAATAAAGCAGGACAATATTATTTCGGTCCTACACGGTTTCAACTCGTATATAAGGAGTCATAAACCTAATTTGGAGGAGAGCTAACATACATTGAAGGAGAATTCACGTGGGGGAACACACACCATGCTTGGAGGAGGCTTTCAACTAGTTTTTCTTCTCTTCTCTTCTTTTAATTTCATAGTTCATTAGTTCTAGAGTTTTGGGGTGCTACATGAACGTTGTAGTTTGAAGCTTGAATTGTTCTTATTATTTTATCATACTGGTTTATTTATTCAATCTTGCGCTTAATTATTTGATTGCTTAATCACCAATTGGATACTATCTGCGAATCTAGGATTGAACTCGGAAGAGGAAATTCTAGATTGCATATAAGATTGAGTAGAGCAAGATCTTAACTCTGGGGGGGGGGGGGGGGGCGGATTTGCGGTTAGGATAGGAATATACCTAATTGCCTTGCTTGGTTACTATACAGGAATTATTAATGCGTTCTTGTTAATTTTAATTCCATAGGAATATAGGCGTTAGATTAGCTTGAATAGGCGAGTTGTACTTCGGGAGAAGGCTACGAGCAATATTAACCTTGTCAACCAATAAACCAGATAAATTAATTAGACGATTTAAGTGAAAAACTCAACGGGATTGTTAGCTAACACATAGCTCTAGAATATTCACTCACATTGAATTCGTCTCTATAATTCGCCAACTTGTTTTCTTTAATCTCTTAATTTGTTACTCTAGATTAATTTTAGTTAAATATTCATAGGTTAGGATTCTCTTGAACAGATTAATTGTTGGGTTTAATTTAGTTGATAGTTAATCACAAGTCCCTGTGGGTACGATATCTGGACTTACAATCCTATATTACTTGTCGACCACGTATACTTGCGTGTGCGTTTGGGAGCAACCGTAATTAACTCAACCTTCAACAAAGTATATCATTCAACCTTCTTGGAGAATGGATGCCAACAATTAGTATTATACTAATTTTAGAAAATTTGTACTTAAAATATTTAATTTGACAGAAGAATCATAGGTTCCCGTGCCCCATATTTTTGCCTATAAATCCACCCTAGATGCTCGTAATTTCTACAATTGCTCTAATGAGAAAAGACTTTCCACCAACAAGGCAACTACTGTCCCGGCTGACTGGCTCATCCAAATGAAGCTCTTTTCGGTGGCTTGTGTCTAGCTTTAAGCTACTTGTTTCTAGTTCTGATTTCCTAGTGTTTGTGAACCTTGTCGACCTGTAGCCTGTTTGGTCAAACTTCTAAAATCTGCTTATTTTGATAAGTGTTTTTTCTAAAAGTAATTTTTTAAAAAGTACTTTTGGTGAGAATCGGTTTGTGTTTAGCTAATTAATTTGAAAACTCTTTTGAACAATAATTAGTGTTTGGCCAAGCTTTTGAAAACTGCTTCCAAGTGTATTTTTTTAAGAAGTGTTTCTCAAAAAAATGCTTTTGGGGAGAAGCTATATTTTTCTGCTTCTTAAAAACTGCTTCTGCTTCACCTCAAAAGCACTGTTTTTTCTTTTATAAGCTTGGCCAAACACCTCAATTTTTGGCCAAAAACAATTTTAAAAAAAAAAAAAAAACAATTTTGGCCCAAAAATTTTTGCCAAATAAACTATTAGCAAGAGTCGATGCCATTTCTCCATTCCTTTGTCCGTTTCAATTAACTTATTCGGATGTTTGGGACCTTCCCCATTTTTTAATAATGGGTCTCGATATTTTGTTTTGCTCCTTAATGATTGCACCAGATTTATTGGATGTATTCTATGTCATATAAATCGCAAGTTTTTCAACTTTTCACTCAATCCACAGCTTTAATTGAGACCCAATTTAAAACAAAAATAAAATCAGTCCAAACTGGCTGTGGAGGTGAGTACCAAAATGTATCATCCTTTTTAAACGTCAAGGTATTCATCGTCGTATTTCTTTCCCTTATCTCAACGAAATAGTGGATCAGGATACATTAATCGAATTATAATTGAAAAAGACTGACCCTTCTTCCCATGCTTCTCTTCCTTACCAATTTTGGGAGCATACTCTTACGAAAATTTTACACCCTATAGAAAAGCTTAGTACCCTATTTATTTTAAATAAATACCATTTTAAAATATTACATCCTATAGATACCCTTTATCCTTTATAGCAAAATATCTAATTATAGTTACATCCTACATTTTAAGGCACCATATATGCTAAATAATATTTTTCTCTCTCCTTTTTAGTCTTTTCTCTCACATAATCACGGTAAATCTTACTAACCACGTTCTCTCTCTCTTTTTGCATGCACTTTACTCTCTTCTCCCATAAACCCACGATTCATACCTCTTCTCCCACCCAAATTCGCTAGGTCTCCGCCATTATCATTCTCGCACGAAGCTCGCCGACCGTCGCCGATCGAAGAGCGTCATCGACGACGACCTACAAACTGCTTCGTGCTTGCTTTGACTTATCGAAACTTGTTATGTTTCGGTGGTAATTGGAGTCGAACTTACACTTGTTGTGCAGAAAACTTCTGCTAATACCATTGGACTATGGTGGTCTCAATTGATATAGATTTCGAGAGATTATTGTCAATATGGTGGTAATGTGCTTGCTTTGGATCCGAAACTCTTCCTGCTTTGGAGCTATATCAAGCTGTGAACAAGCAGTACAGTAATACATTATCTAGAACAAAGACGCCGGAGTTTGGGGCCGAGCAACTTATTTTCTGTTAATATATTACAATGTATTTTCATGTATTTCATTGTATTCATTGTTTTTTTCCATTGAATTCAATGTATCTCGTTGTATTCCATGTATTTCACTGTCTTCACTATTTTTTTTCATTGTATTTCAATGTATCTCGCTGTATTCTATGTATTTCATTGTATTCACTGTCTCGCTATATGCCATGAATGTATTCATATGTTTTTTTTAATTAAAATAATTTATGTATTCAGATGTATTATATAATTTCTCTGAAGATTGCTATGTTTTTTGGTATTTTTCGGTTGAGAATCTTTTTTATAACTGAAAATACAAAATTTATGTGCTATAATTGAGTTTGTTGAGTTATATTAGGAGTCTATTATGTTAATTGATTCACTTTCCGTTTTAAAAACAGTGTAATCCCATGTTTCACGCCGTGAATACAGTCGAATATAGTCGAATACAATAATCTGTCCAGCTGTAATCCCATGTTTCACTCCATGAATACAGTCGAATACAACAACTGATTAGCTAGACTTCCCTGATTCACGCCTATTTTTGCTACTGTATTCATGAATACAATAGCTTAAATACATCAAATACATCTTATAACCGCATAAAAGGTATCTATAATCCGTAATATAGCAAATAATATTTATAAATGGCTAATTACTACTAAAAGATAGTGCTTTATGAAAATTTCTCCACTCTTAACACTGCTACATATACTTACCCAACAGAAATGATTTGGGCTCTTTCACTAAGTGATCGCTTAGGAATCTATAGTAAGGGCAATAAATGGGGCCAACGTAGCCCATTAAATATTGCTCTAACACGAGCTATCCACATTATAATTAGTTCTATCGAAATAGATGTTGCAAAAAAATCAACTATATATTTGAATCATGGTTGCCCTTTTTGGAGGTCCCCATTTTTTGGATTACAAATTAAATCTTATCTTGCTGAACCACTAATTCCAGAGGCGTGGCTCATTAATTATTGACCTGCATTAGCTGTGCATGATCCACAATTATTGGACCGGCAAACATACATACAACTTCTGGAAAGTAGCTTATTTTCCGAAAAAAGTAGATGAAGACAAGATTTTATACCTTGAAAAAGAAAGTAAAAATTAAAGGGTAGAATCCATCTAAGCAGTAAGCAAACTTCAAGCAGATAAAGGAAAAGAAAAACTTTATTCGAATTCTCTAAAGAATATAGTAGTTAGAATTTATTGAATGAAAGGGTTTAAGATTCAACCACCCCTTCCATGAATGGAAGGGTTGATTGATTCCACCATCTAGCATGTCTTTTTATTTGGACCAAGATGAACCCTTTTGACGAGTCTAACTTTCAAACCATGTTTCATTTGAACGATAATAGAAGCACTTGGAGAAATGGTTTGAGCTTCCTCTAGTTGGATATGGTAACTGTGTATGATGGTGGCTGCTATCATTTTCATCTGAATGAATGCCATTTCCTTCCCTAGACAAGTTCTTGGTCCAGCATTAAATGCTGGAAATTTAAAAGATGGCTCATGTTTGATCTTTCCTTGTTCCGAAATCCATCGTTCTGGCCTGAATTCTAAGCAATCTTTTCCCCATATAGTCTCCATTCTCCCCATTGTGTAGAATGATAGCACAATTCTCGTGTTTGGATTAACACGGTGACCACTTGGAAGGATGTCAGATTCAAGTGAAACTTTATGCTCCAAAGAAACTGATGGAAATAGCCTCAGAGTTTCACACAAAGCAGCATGTAGATAGATCAGTTTTCGTGTTTCTTCTATGTTGAAAAGCTTGGTGTTTTCATCTTCTTTTAGTTGCAATTGTTGTTGAATCTCTTTCCTAATCCTTGTCTCTACTAAGGGGTTTTCAGCTAAGAGCCAAAAAAACCAAGTGATAGCTGCACTTGTGGTGTCTCTCCCAGCCAGCATCAAATTTAAAAAAGTATCCCTCAAAAATTCTTGTACATTACCCGTATTACTTCCATTCTTCCATAGATTGTATGCTTTAATATAGGCAGTAAATAAGTCGAAGTCCTCATCTTTGATTATTTTGTTCATCAACTCTTCTTGCTTACGTGAAATGCAAGGATATAGAAATCGATCAAAAGCTTCCCATGCTTGAATGAGCTTCTTCTCTTTTCCAATTTGAAGCCATCTTTGCAATTTCCAACAGCCTTCTGGTAAGATATGTCTATACAAAAGTGCATCCACAGCATCATTGAACGCTTTTTCACATGGAACATGAGGCAAACCAATGGATAAACTTTTTGGATCATGGTCAAGTAATAATTTGCTAATAGCATCAAAAGTAAATCTCTGGAAAATGTCTTGCAAATCAAACGGTGTGCCTTGTTCTGCAAAAGTATCAAGAATTGGTTGGAGCCCTTTTTCAAAAGTATCCCACATGTTCCTCTCTAACAAAGTTTGGAACTTGGCATGGCTCATTAAAGACATGGTGGTCTTCCTATGAATTTCCCATAATTCGGAATCAACATTGAAGATTCCATTTCCTAAAATATCGAATATTTTTTGGAATTCAAGACCCTTTGGATAGTTTGAGAAATTTTTACTAAGGACATGGTGGATATTTGCAGGATCACTAGTAGCTAACATATTGGAATTGGTAAGTACAGGACCATAGAACTCAAATGTGCCCCCAGTTTCCACAAGAACAGAAGTTGCAAAATCATGGACACGGTGAGCATTTCGAATAAGCCCCGGTAACATTCCAACGAGAGGCCAATTTGTTGGCGCTGAGCTTTTGCACCATCTTTTTGTAAGGTACCACCATGTAGAATAAGTGAAACACATGATAATTATAATCAATAGAGAAAGAGAAAATTCAAGGACATCCATTTGATTGAGGTTCTTTTTTTCTTTCAAACTAGCTTTCCTTCTCTTTGTGTTTTGTAGGACACTTATAGAACATGAGATCAGTCATTTTCCACTCACTATTTATAGCCCCACAAGAGTTTTGGCAAGCAAGTTATATATGGCTGAAAGTCCCTTAAATTATATCTACGGTATATAAACGTATACATCTCAATGAAGAAGATAAGGATGTGGGAATCTGGCAGGGAATGGTACATCGTCTCAGTCATAGAGGATAAGTTGGTATATATAAGCTCATTCATTTCATATTAATATCAGTTGTCTCCTTGTGGGAAATCTCTACGCGGGAAAGAAAAAGTTTATTATGCTTATATTTAAAGCACTTTTATTAGTTCTTTCCCAAATGGCAACTAGAGTAAATTTGAAACTTTTACACACGTTGAAAACGAAAGTTTACTCAACGAAAACTATAAAATATAGGGATCCAACTCCCCTTCATTTCCTAGTCTCTCTATTTCTCCGAGTTCCTACTTGGATTTGATACACTTCTCCAAGTTCCTCTATAAATCAGTTCAAGCATGGGGAAAAAATAAATTCAAGGTATGAAAACTGAAAATTAAGGACCGTTGTTTGTGGATTGAAAGTTAATTGAAACCATAAGGCAAATTGTATAGTCTTGTTGGAACGGAGCAGCAAAAAGCCTTATCGGTTTGTAAATTATAATGGTTAAACTGTCTGCAGAGATGTTCTATCAACGATAAGATCATTAAGGTGATTTTGTTATGTCTTGGGGTAGGGCAGGGCAGGGATGGCAATTGGGGTAGGGCAGGGCAGGGATGGCAATTGGGGTAGGGCGGGGCAGGGCAAACTTTGGCCTATTAAGTTGTTAACCCGCCCGCCCTGCCCTATTTAGCATTTTTCTAGAATTTGCCCCGTCCCGCCCCGCCCCGCCCCATTTAGACTCTTTTTCATTTTTTTATTTTGTAATATTCTATTTAATATTTTTTAAACATATGATTTTACAGAAAATGTGGGATTATTAGAGCAAAAGGAAATCAAAAGAAGATTTTCTCATATCTTTATGATATGAAATAAGGTGAGAGTGGAAAAATTAAAATATTCGTGAGTAAAACGATGCACATATTGATGAAATATATATTGGATATTACAAATCAAATTAATGAAATAATTTAGACAATCAAATAATGACATATTTCCTTTCTGTTTGGAGGACATTAACGATTTTGGCATTTCAAGAGTTCATCCTAGTCATTTTATAAACATCAGTCATTTAACTTCTTTCTTAGAGATAATTAGAAAGGAAATATTTTTTAATAATTAGTGAAAAATAATTGGAAAGGTGAACTCTATAGCACCTGAGCTTATACATTAAACGCATTATAATGCGTATATTTAAAGTAAGAATTGGGGAAAAAGAACAAAATTAACCTGGCCCAGTTATTAACTTGAACTTTGCCCCTGCCCCACCCTATTAAGATTTTTTAAAAATAAAATTTTGCCCTGCCCTGCCCTGCCCCGCCCCGCCCCGCCCCATTTAGATTTTGCCCTGCCGCCTCACCTCAATTGCCATCCCTATATGTCTTACAACATACACCTGGAGATTGGTACACATAGTCATACAGTGGCTGCTGCTATTTGCTGTGCTTCACAGTAGTGCCAGTCGAACACAAATTGTCAGCAACTCCAAGCATTCAACTACCAGAAAATGTCATTATTGAAACTATTTCTCATAACAGCTTCCATAACATCTTCAATTCCCACTTTTTTAGAGGAAGTCTCAATATCTTTCTTTTGTCAAATTGTTGTTGGCTATTGGTGTTGGACTCTGACCCGTGTTCCAGTTTGTCACTAGTTTCAACCTAAGGTTAGGTTTGTTACTTATTGGGCACATGGGGTTGGTTGTACTCATACTACACTTCTGCACCTTGCATGCAGATGCTGGGTGCTGATGTTGTTGTGATCGACGGGGGCTGGAATTGAAGACGTACCTGCGTTCCAGATGTAGCTGCCTCTTGTTCATGGTAGCCTTAGATTTATAAAAATTTGTTTATTACATTTCGAACAGATGATGTATTTACTTCATACCAGCTTCGTAAATTCTAATTTTAGAAGCTCATGATTTGTACTACCAGTCCTTGAGAAATATATAGGTTTCAGATTTTTTTTTACTTAATTATCTCATTAAATTTCATTGGAATTGGATAATTGTTAATTGGTTTACCTAGCGGGTTGGGTTAGGTTCCATCACGACTAGTTGGATTTTGGGTTGTGAGAGGTTGGTATCAGAGCTCTAGGTTCATAAGTTCTACAAGTCATGAGCAAGTGTCTAGTAGAGTCTTGCGGTTCGGTATGATGATGTCCATACCTATCTTCGAGAGGCTATAGGGTATTTAGGATAAATTTTCCATCTTTCTCTTCTTATTATGCGACATTGATTCAGCTTGAAGCATAACTCTTAAAATTCCTTCCACGCATTCGTATACGCATGTGAGCGCTCGGTATCAGTTGTACGTTGACGGCATGCTATTACATGAATGATGTGCGAGATGTGATTTCTGTGGGCTGATGGTGGGCCAGTCTGGAGGACTTGAGGCCGGGTTTTGACTGTAGCTTGAGCACGGGGATTTCGGTTGTGTGAGCACATGATTTTGGACTTATATGTCCGGTAGTGTCCCTATGAGTGGAATTTGTGGCTCGATGAGTTGTTGGATGGCTATATGATGAGTATAATGTGACTACAGGAGGTGTTCAGATGGAAGCTCATGATTTGTACTACCAGTCCTTGGGAAATATATAGGATTCAGATGTTTTCTCTTACTTAATTATCTTATTAAATTTTATTGGAATTGGATAGTTGTTAATTGGCTTACCTAGAAGTTTGGGTTAGGTGCCATCCCGACTAGTTGGATTTTGGGTCGTGAAAGGTTGGTATCAGAGCTCTAGGTTCATAGGTTCTACAAGTCATGAGCAAGTGTCTAGTGGAGTCTTGCGGTTCGGTATGATAACGTCCATACCTATCTTCGTGAGGCAATAGGGCATTTAGGATAAATTTTCCATTTTTCTCTTCTTATTGTGAGACAATGATTCAACTTGAAGCATAACTCTTGAAATTCCTTCCACGCATTCGTATGCGCATTTGAGCGCTCGGTATCAGTTGTACATCGACGGCCTGCTATTACATGAATGATATGCGAGATGTGATTTCTGTGGGCTGATGAAGGGCCAATCTGGAGGACTTGAGGCCGAGTTTTGACTGTAGCTTGAACACGGGGATTTCGGTTGTGTGAGCACGTGCTTTTGGACTTATATGTCAGGTAGTGTCCCTATGAGTAGAATCTGTGACTCGATGAGTGGTTGGATAGCTATATGATGAGTATAATGTGAGTGCAGGAGGTGTTCAGATGGATTGAATGTGATGAGCAGAGTTTGCTTGAGATGGTGCTTGATTTCTGTCTTGAGGTGACGTATAGTCTCGAGTCTTGAGTCTATTGAAGGATCTTTCATGTTGCTTAATAGTGGAAGGAATTAGATTCGCATGGGCTTGTTGATGGGTTTAGACTTAGGAAGATTAAGTGATTGCGTAGTAGTTGCGACTGTGAAAGGGTATAAAGAGATGTCAATTTGAGACTAAGCAGGTGGGTTGTAACTTGCGAGGTAATCTACGGATGTGTGATTTTTATGATGTTGTGTGGATGCTTTCTTATCTACTAGTGGGTTGTATTTGTGCGATTTGAGTTTGGATCGGTTGTAATAGTTGACCTGGCTATCATGAGGATGAGTGCGAGATTTGTAGATGATTTGAGGTATTAGATGGTTTGTATTGCATGAGCTTATGAAGGATTTAGTTGAATCTCACTCCGATATTATGACAGTAATAGAGTATGGGCATTTTGAGCTATCGAGTGTTTTGTCCTATGGCTTTGAGCCAAGTGGGGGAGGCTGCTATTGACGAGTTGATTGCACGGTTATGTGTTGTATTGATTTTAGTTTGAGGTATACTTGTGAATCAGTTATGACTTGCAGAGGTTGAGGTCGAGGATGACTCGAGTAAGGGAATTTCTAGATACAGGTTGCATTACACTCTATGGTTATATGGAAATCATGGAATGATTGGATGGTTATTTGTGAATGATGTAGTGTGCATAGAGTAGGAATTTGCTTGGTCGCGTTAATGTGGGGTGACTTCTTTAGGTGTTGTCGTGCTAATGGGGCATAGGTCGTTCGGTCATTTGGGCGGTGCAATTGAGATTTGAGTAGAGTGAATGACTCTCGAGAAAGGTTCTAGTGGATTCAAGATTTATATGTAGCAATTGGGAATTTTCAGGATTTGTATATGGCTAGAAACTAATATTTACAGTGGATGGTGTTGAGACTTGTGGCATTTCTATATCATTATGGATTCTACATTTCAGCATTCAGAAAGGTGAAGGAAACAGTTTTCGATTCACAGAAGATTTCTTTAGAGTGGATATCTCGGTTATGGTACTTTTTGGATGCTTAAGAGGGAATACAACGGCTTATGGGTTTTCAGGCGTGTGGTTTTATGTTAGAACCTATTGTGGTGAGTTTTGGTTAAGGATCGTGGTATTCTGGTAGGAGAAGTATCAATTTGAAGACAATTCAAAAGAAACTCAGAGAAATAGGACAGCTTGATAATAGGTTGGATCAGCACAGTAATGGGTATGATCGGTTCTTTGGGTACTTATGAGGTGGCGAGTCTCTACAGGTGTTTTGTGGCAATGCTCTTGGGTTTTGGCGACCTGCGTGGCTTGGTTGAGTTAGGGGGATTCAGTTCTGATGACTTAGTTATGTGCAAAGGGGTTTTAAGATGTCCTCAATCGTTTCTACCATGGTTCGAGGTGTATATTTTCTACCAGTGTGTGGAACATGTTGTATATTGTGATTTTCTTTTGGGTAAGATCAAATGTACGATTTCTGACTGATCGGATATATATTCTGCTTGCGACTCAGAATTGATTATGAGATTCTTGTACTCTTCACATGATGGCATGATTGATGCGGTGTGATGTGTGGGATTAAGATTTGCATG